TCCTTAAGATCTGGCCAAACCGAGCTGTCTCTGCCTTTTCTTCCGCAGGTAGAGTCTACCCAGGCCCCGGAGCTGACCGAGCAGCTTGCTCACTTAGTGGCCACTGAAAAGGGGTCCCAGCAGGCCCCCAAGGGCCTAAGGCACCATTCCTGCACGGTGGTTGGGCCCTTCGCGGTCATCTTTGGGGGAGAGTCCCTGACGAGGGGTCGAGACGCCATCTGCAATGAGCTTTACATCTACGACGCCAGTAAGAGTTCTTAACAAAATCTCTTCTCTTCCTCTGACCCTGGGCCTCCACTATCAGCCACTTTACGACTTCTGGACTTTAAATGCTGGCTGGGGAATCCTGGGCATTGAAGTCCACAAGTCTTAAAGTGCTCTAAACTGAGCCACTGATAGAACACAAGTGGGTCTTCTCAGTTTTCTGCCACGCAACGTGTCCTATCCACCCTTACCACCCAACGTGTCCTATCCACCCTTACCACCCTTACCAGGAATTGGAATTCCTAAGACAGTGTTTCTCAACCTTGGTGACTTTAAGTCCTGTGGGCTTCAACTCCCAGAATCCCCCAGCCAGCCCAGCTGCGCTGGCTGGGGGATTCTGAGAGTTGAAGTCCACAGGACTTCCAAGTCTCCAAGGTTGAGAAACACTGTGCTAAGCGAACGTCCGTTAAGCATTTAGGAGTCTCCGTTTCGCTCTTGCAGGGGCGTCGCCAGCCAACTGGTTCCGCTTTCCTTCTTCGACCCATGCGCAGAAGAGATGCGGCCACCGAACGTGCCTCTGGAATGACAAACTCTACCTGGTGGGTGGGTTTGGGGCCGATGGGAAGACCCCTTGCCCAGAGATCTGCAGCTTAAGGATATCGCCATGAAAGCCGGGATTTTGCTCACCAGCTGGGACCACCAAATGCTTCTTCCACCACTCCCGAAGTATCTTTCTTCTTGGCTCTGGAGAGTTGGCCCGCTCGGATGGCGTAAACGCACCCACGCATGTCATAAAGACGTCTCTTTGGGCAGACAAATATCTTGACGCAAACCAAAAATGCCAGCAAGAAGTCTCCTCCTTAAATAACTGAGGTGTGTCCCCAGTTTATGAATAAAGTTTTGCCCAATTTACAAATAAAAGTTTTGACTTTCTCCCATTGTTGTAACCTTTCCCAAGCCTGGTTTTGATCCAATCTTTTCAAACAAAAATCTAATAAAGTGGAATGAGGGTGGGAGGTTCATTCTCTGGGCTTTTGAGTTGGTTTCCGAACGTTTCGTTACCAGGCGAGGTAACATCTTCAGCGGAGTTTAGGGGACGTCAGTTTCGGTGTTCGTCTGAAAACTAAGGAGACTTTTGAAAACCAACCCACAAGCTCGGCGTGTCAACCCTGAAGCTGACCTGGGAGAAGCCATCTCGGAGCTTCAGTGTGGCCATGTCAGCCTCTGCTTTGCTGCTGCTTCTGCTGCCATTGAAACGGGGAGGGGGGGCATGGTATTTGGGAGGGGACTCATTGTTGTGCTGGAGGAAGATTCTAGATTTTGGACTGTCCACCTTACTGCGCATGTGGAGGAGGAGTGTTTCCCGCCAAGGCCAATGAAACCAGCATTCCATCCTGGTGATGCCTTTCGAAGTTATCTCACAGCTGACAATTGGGAGAATTATGATTGGACGGTGCATGGGATGCCAATGGGAGGGGAATGAATTATACAATATATTCTTGGCTTTCGCGCCTAAATA